AGATCCCGCACCCTACCGGCGTCACCTTGATAAAAGCACTACTACAGGGGCCTTTAATTAGAATAGGGTTTTGCGGCCCGTAATACTGTAATTATAATGAGGAACCCCCAAAATAGTATGGGCAATTATTGCGCAAGGCCCCTGTATTCTCCACCCTGATAAATACCACTTACAAGACCGCCCCATACTGTCTACAAGCTCTGTAGAAAACGCAGTGTGCCTTACAAGCCCCTGTCAACCTTTAATATCGACGAAAGCGTAGTACAACAGAAGAGGTACGAGAAGTAAAAAAGCTTGCCCTCGTTTCAGTTGAACCCGGTAGGTTGGCAAAGTAACATACGTCTTAGGCCGCCATGCAAACAAGTTGACGACCCACCCCCCTCCCAGTGGCAGCTGGTCAGGCCTGGGGCTCAGGGTTTCAAACGGTGCAATGGGCTTTGAAGACTGATTGCAAAGATTCTGCTACGGTGCTGCAAAAGTTCAGATTATAACAGTTGCACGGCGTTAAAACAGGGGGCTTTCACGTAAAGAGCTATCTCAATGAGCTTTAGTCGAATACGGTATAAGTTTCTTCATGTCCCGTACAAGGAGTACGATATCGCGACTACACTACATGGCTGCTGCACTCCGTGCTGTACAATCTCACTCCTATATGCTAGTGGAATACCAGATCGCGGCTGAAGTTTTCGCCGCTGCTCACACCAGGGACCCTAATTTCGACAAGCGCCCAGCGCTGGACTCTCAGAGTTCAGCCGCTGAGGGGCAACTTCTGTCTGGTGCTTAGTAGGGAATGGGGGAATGGATCCCGATGATAGTCCCTTAAAGTCTCTTATAGTAGTCCCTATAATCACTATAATCCATTCCCCAATTCCCTACTAAGCACCAGACAGACTTTCTGCCTGACCCTGGGCGGCTTCGGCCGGGCATGGCAGGTACAACCCGAAGTAGGTAATTCTCTAAAATAAGGTCCCTTTTTAGGTCCCCAAGAGAGTACGGCACCCTTATAAAAAGGACTCCAAAAGGGACCCTAATTTAGAGAACTACCCAAGTAGGGCCGCTTCTGAAGAATGTTCACAGTTTACGTGGCTGAAGGGCAAGTTTAGGAATTGGGGTTTAGGGGTTTAGGGATGTTTATATATCTGGAAACGGATTTGGGGTTAATACAAAGGTCTCAGGAGTAGTAGTGATATCATGTTCGCGAAGAAAAACTATGTTATGCGAATCGGGTTCCCTGATACTGTAGATACCTGCAAATTCCAGGCTTGGCGCGGCTAGAAGTAGGGCTAGTACTGGCACCAGCACTAGTGCACCATGGCGCATTGCCTCATGTGGCCCCCTGGGCCCGAGAAGCAATGCAATAAAGACAGCTGGCGAAGTCAACAATCGTTGGTCCTGATGGGCACAGGTTATTTGTAGCAAACCCGCGGAACCAAAGTTGCCCCAGTTCTGTTCAGAGACATATGATACAGCTACACACTAAAACCAAGATTCTGAAACTTGTGCTTCAGAAAATGCCGACCCTGACCCTAAACCCTAAACC